ATAGAAATATTTAAAATATAAAAGTTTCACACGTGTAAGAAATCGATCGAACATCGAACTCGAAAAATCGTCTCGAATTGTTAGGAAAAACACGAGATATTCAGAGAGGAAGTTCGAAAGAGATACGTCTATGAGACACGTTAATTTTTATTTTATTCGATGGACGAGAGAGAGAGCGCGCGTATATCTGTTTATATTTGATTACACGGAGAATCATAAAAAAAGAAGAAGGCTGGTTAACTCGTGATTTTTTATGTTTCAGCAAAAATGTGTGAAAGCGCGGGCTCTGTACGACAATATAGCGGAAGCTCCGGACGAGCTTGCTTTCCGAAAGGGCGACGTTCTTACGGTGCTGGAACAAAACACCGCTGGCCTCGAGGGTTGGTGGCTGTGCGCTCTGCGGGGTAGACAGGTAATTTACCTCCTTCAACGGGGGCTACTTTTACTTTTTCAACGAGAGGTTGACTGTATTTCGCTTTATTATATTCGAGAAATGTTCGAAAGTGGCTTTGTCGAGATTGGATCAATTTTTCTTGAAAAATTGGAATAATTTTTTAATTGGAATAATTTTTGAATTCGTTCAGATAGAGAGCAAGAAATTTCTATTCCTATCTCAATTTCTCTGAAAATGATTCTGGTTCGTTCGAAAGTGGCTTTGTCGAGATTGGCAGCAGTTTCGTTGATCAATTTTTCTTGAAAAATTGGAATAATTTTATAATAATTTTTGAATTCGTTCAGACAGAGAGGAGCAAGAAATTTCTATTCCTATCTCAATTTCTCTAAAAATGATTCTGATTCGTTCGAAAGTGGCTTTGTCGAGATTGGCAGCAGTTTCGTTGATCAATTGTAATTTTTCTTGAAAAATTGGAATAATTTTGTTGAATTCGTTCAGACAGAGAGGAAGAAATTTCTATTCCTATCTCAATTTCTGCTTTCTTCCTCGAAACTTACGATTCCGTCAGGGAAATGACTCTGATTCGCTCTTTATAGTTAATTGACCCACGGTGGATTAAAGTAACAGCGGGATGGAAAACTTCATCGTCGCATCATCGACCACACTCCCACTCCGGAGAGTATCTCGAAAGATTTCACAATTGCCCCAGTTGACGATCGAACAGCCACTTACGTAAACGTCCTCATCGAGATGATCGCGTGACGCTCACTCGCGAGAGCCTTTTCCTCGGCCGCCTCTATCAACAGGCTTTATCACTCTATTTCTAGACGAGAAACGCGTGAAACGCGCCGATGTATTTTATTCTCACTCCTCCAACCTTGCAACGCGACTCGATCTTATTAGACTCGTGAAAAACGAAATCGAAATAAAGATCGATCGTTAAAAAAGAATTAGAGAGATTTAGATACTTTGTGACAAAGTAAAGTGATATTTGAATAAGATTTCGTTGTAAAATAAAATAATATTGGGAAAAAATTAGATACTTTGTCACAAAGTGAAATAAAGTAATATTGGAATAAGTTGAAATAAAATCAAAATAAAAATCGATAGTCAAAAAAAATTAGATACTTTATGACAAAGTAAAATAAAGTGATATTGGAATAAGCTCTCGTGGAAAACGAAATTAAAATAAAGATCGATCATCAAAAAGAATTAGAGAGAGACTTTAGAGAGAGATAATACTTAGAGAGATAATACTTTGTGACAAAGTAAAATAAAATGATATTTGAATAAGCTTTCGTTGTAAAAAAAAATAATATTGGGAAAAATTAGATACTTTGTGACAAAGTGAAATAAAGTAATATTGGAATAAGCTTTCGTGGAAAACGAGATCAAAATAAAGATCGATCGTCGAAAAAGAATCAGAGAGATTTAGACAAAGTAAAGTAAAGTGATGTTGGAATAAGCTCTCGTTGTAAAATAAAATAATATTGGGAAAAAATTAGATACTTTGTCACAAAATAAAATAAAATAATATTGGAATAAATTCTCGTGAAATAAAATCAAAATAAAAATCGATAGTCAAAAAAAATTAGATACTTATGACAAAGTAAAATAAAGTGATATTGGAATAAGCTCTCGTGGAAAACGAAATTAAAATAAAGATCGATCATCAAAAAGAATTAGAGAGAGACTTTAGATAATATTTTGTGACAAAGTAAAATAAAATGATATTTGAATAAGCTTTCGTTGTAAAAAAAAAGTAATATTGGAAAAAAATTAAATAGTTTGTGACAAAGTAAAATAAAGTGATACTGGAATAAGCTCTCGTGAGCAAAAACCAAATAAAGATCGATCGTCAAAAAGAATTAAAGAGACTCAGATATTTTGTCACAAAGTAAAATAAAGTGATATTGGAGCTTTAAGCTTTCGTGAAAACCAAAATAAAGATCGATAGTCAAAAAGAATTAGAGAGAGAGAGAGAGAGAGAGAGACTTAGATAATACTTTGTGACAAAGATTAAAATAAAGTGATATTGAAATAAGCTCAAGACGACGAGAATTACGACGTTGATCGTCGAGACGCACAGACTTTCATCTTCTCCCCTCCCTCTCTCCTCCCAACACATGACACGGCATTATTATCGCGGAAATGGGACGTTAGAGGCACCGTTACAGACTTCGATCTTAGATGTTCATCTACTAGCCGGCAGAAGAATGGAGGGGGAGGGGGGAGGGCGCCACGTCGAGCGCGCACCGCGAACGAAAGACCAGTACTCGAACGAAAGATCTCTTTGACAGAGATCGTTTCCGCGTTCGACATCTGCTCGAAAGATTTCGAGACTCCGTGACCTGCGTCAATCCTCGTCTACCACCTCGTCTCTTATCTCTTACACACACCATTTTCACGAGCCGCTGCGTACGGGAGTCTCTCTATTCGAGGAAACGGACGAATGAGAAGCTTGGAATGCGGAGGAAGGATGGCCGAACGGCGAGGTCGTAACTTGTCGCTAGGTGGATTTATCGGGACGTGTGGTTAACAGAGACAGAGAGAGAGAGAGAGAGAGAGAGAGAGAGAGAGAGAGAGAGAGAGAGAGAGAGAGGAGTTTATTAAAAAAAATTTTCTTTGAACGAATCGATGATCCGAGTTTCCATCTATTCGAAGCTCTGGAAAATAGATACACTTAAATACATCTATTTTTTTTCTTTTTAGAGCGAAGCGAATAGAATGTAACGATAAAAATATACGACGACAGGACAAGTGATTACGAGTAAAACGAGCGATTGTTAATAAGATTGTTTTATACCGTACCACTGTGCTATGTTATGTTTTCAAATATTTGCTTTGACTCGCCATATAACTCGTCGTACTTTGCTTTTAAAACGCATTGGTCATCCTTGGAAGCGCTCTTACGTTTCACTGCACATAAAACCGTACACTGTTCCTCGAGCTGACATTTAGCCATCGTTTGACGTAGCCGCATTCCTCGCATATCTTTCTTACCGTATAATCTTCTTTATATATATATATATATATATGTGTGTGTGTATATGTATAACGAGCACGACATTCTACGAATCGCGTACGCGATTTCTTCGATTGAGAAAGATTGAGAAAAACAATGGAAATAAATTTCGTTTCTCGGTATATTAATTTCTGCGCGAGAGATGAAGTTGTCGTTCGTCGTCGAGAGAGGGATACCACGTGCATATGGCGCTCGTTGGAAAGGAAGCGTGGAGGGGGAAGTGGCTCGAGTTGGAGATTGGAAAACGGGGTGCGCTACGAGGTTTACGACGAAATGTTACGAGTTTCGCAGCTGGGACCCGATGCGCTGTTCCTTTATTTACAAGCCGTTGCGTCGCCAGCCACGATAAACGCATCGGGCGATTTGTGTATATATATATATATATATATATATATACACAAAGTATACAATATAATATATATATATATATATTATTTTATAATTGATCGTGTGCGTTGAAGCGATTCTTTTTTTTAATCGAATTTTTTAAATTAACGTGGATCGAATTATAAAAGTTAATGAAAAATTGGGGCGTTGCGTTTGATTAAATTCTTTTTAAATTGAAGCACGGAGTGTTTTGTAAAATGCTCGTTTAATTGGACGCATTTTTAATCATTCGTTAAAAGCCTCTTGCGCGCGTACATCTCTCTTTCCCTCCGATTTTTATTTCAAAAAATCGATTCGAAAGGGAGCAGCGACCCTTTGAACCTTCTCGATATATTTCATCGAACGCTTCGGCTTGCAATCGAGAATTTGAGCGAGTCGACCGCCAATTATTCGAATCGAGGAAAGTTGGGCAAAAGCTCGAGCTCGCTCGTCCCTTGATATACGCCTCATTGACCTCTCGAGATCGATTTGTCCGCACGAAAATTAACGGCAGATGCGCGTGCTCGTGAACGATCGAAACGCGATCGCCCCGCGTGTTTCCACTTTTCTCCAGCGGAACGGAATCGATAGAATCCATAATGGAGCTCTCCTCTGTCACTGTTGCGCCGTTTTCGTCAGCAAATGAACGGTTTTGTAGAGCTCGGCACACAGAACATCGGCCGGCCTGCTACGTGTTTTTCGAACGTGGTGTTGCAGGCGAACGACGATAGTCGTCCATAACGTTCTCGATTACGCATATTCCACGAATATACAGCGAATGTTATTGATTATTATTATTAATTACTATTAATTGTTATTATTATTAACTTCGTTATTTCGTTATATGCGTTGAACGATTTTTACGCGTGCTCGATCTGGAAACAACGAGAGATTTCCATTCGACGTATCGACACCCAGCCTCGATTTCATTCTCCTTCGGATTTTTCCACTGTCACCGCTTTTCCCCCCCGAAACTCTGAGATATTAGGAGAGATTCGACAGCTGTGCCTGTCAGGCCTCGAGAACCCATCGTGTAATATATTGCTCACGAGCAAATCAAATTTAGAGAGAGCCAGAGAGAGAGAGAGAGAGAGAGAGAGAGAGAGAGAGAGAGAGAGAGAGTTCTCGTTTCGATTAATTGGAGCTTCGTTTCCTCTCGCGACATTTTGGAGTATGGATGATATTTCTAGCAGACAATCGAAGCTCTAAACGTTGTTTAACGTTTCCTCCTTCGAGCTCGACTCGCGGGATTATCAGTTGGCAGATAATACGCGCGAATCGATTTCACGGGCCGTCGCTTTGTCACGTGAATGCGTCCTTTTCGAGGGATAATGGGATCGTCGAATGGAGGGGGAAGAAAAACTTGTTATTTGCATCGGGCTCGATAAATCGACTCGTCGATGGAATCAATTGGAATCGTTTGGAGATACGATCGTTTATAAGGGAGGATCGACGAAGTGATTAATTCGTTCGATATATTAGGATTAATAAGTTAATTTAAATCTGTACTACGTATTTTTCAATAAATAATCTGATATGATAATGATGATTGATATGTCGAATTTTTTGAAAAAAAAGAAATTAATAATAAGTTTTTCGAGAATAATGGACTCGATGGAATCGTTTATAAAAGAAATGATTAATTCGATATATATTAGGATTAATAACTTAACAGGTTTAAATCTATACGATACTATGAAATAATAATGAATAATACGTCGAATATTAATTTCTTAAAAAAGAAAAAAAAAAATTAATAATTTTCGAGGGACAATGGAAAAGAAAAGAAATCTGTAATTTTCGATAAATTGACTGGTCGATGGAATCGGTTGGAATCGTTCGGAGAAATTTATAAGGAAGGCTCTGTATTTTTCAATAAATAACCTGATAATAATGAACGATAGATCGAATAAATTAATTTCTTGGAAAAAAAAGGGGGGGGATTTTTATTTAAAATTTTATCTTAAAATTTTTATTTCCCACGATAAATATTCTCGAATAACCTTGAAACATACAATATAATAAAACGTGCAACGCGTATATAGTTTGGCATGCATGGTTCCGCGATATTAAGTCGTTATTATTCCCTCCGGTTGTGCGCTGTTATTGCAATATATATATATATATATATTTTCCTTTTTACTGCCCAGGGCATCTGTCCAGGAAATCGATTGAGACTTCTGGTCGGCCAATATGATACAGGGGGTTGTTTGGTTGGCAGCAGGCCTGACCTAACCATTTCCGAAGACGGCATACAGAGGCATGGAAAACGGCGTAGCTGGCACGTTCAACCGAACAGGGTGAGTTATACGATCCCATTATTAAATTCATGGGGCACAGAATATTTCTGTATTATACACGTACGCGCATGCGTCCCACGCGTCTTTCGCCAATTCAACTTTATCGTGGTATTCACTTCGTGCGAACGGAAAATTTTCAATTTCGCGTCGATCGAACTCGAATTGGGTGCGAATTTAAATATTTAAAGATCGTTAATCAATCGGAAATTAATTTGATAATATTGAATCGAATTGAAAAATCGACGCTCTAGATACATGCGTATCGTTCATTTAATTATCCGTTTTCATCGATTCAACCTTCTCACTCAAGTGTACATATATTCAAGTATTTTTCAGTAAATAATATAATTAATATTTGACGTAGTTGGTATCTTCTCTCTGTAATTTTATCGAAGTGAGGATGTTTAAACGTCCATATTCGATTTAAATCTGTATAATATTACGTATATGTATTTTTCGATGAAACGTGGTTAATATTTCATGTAGCTATTTTCTCTCTGTAATTTTATCGAAGAGAGGATACTTAAGTATCTATATTCGATATTTTTCCAATAAATAACATAATTAATATTTCACGTAGCTAGTATTTTTCCTTTGTAATTTTATTGAAGTGAAGATACTTAAGTATCCATATTCGATATTTTTCAATAAATAATGTAATTAATATTTCACGTAGCTAGTATCTTCTCTCTATAATTTTATCGAAATAAAGATACTTAAATGTCCATATTCGACATTTTTCAATAATGTAGTTAATATTTCACGTAGCTAGTATCTTCTTTCTGTAATTTTATCGAAGTGAGGATACTACTAAGTGTACTATATTCGACATTTTTTAATGAATAACGTAGTTAGTATCCGATAATAAATGATACATCATTCACTCTTATCTTCTTTCCTTGTTTCAATTCACCTTCTCACTCAAGTATCCATGTATTTTTCAATAATAACATAGTTAATATTTCACTAGTAGCTAGTATCACGTATCTTCTCTCTAATTTTATGGAAGTGAGGATACTTAAGTATCTATATTCGACATTTTTCAATAAATAATATAATTAATATTTCATGTAGCTAGTATCTTCTCTCTGTAATTTTATCAAAGTAAAGATACTTAAGTATCCATATTCGACATTTTTCAATAAATAACATAGTTAATATTTCACGTAGCTAGTATCTTCTCTCTGTAATTTTATCAAAGTGAGGATACTTAAATGTCCATATTCGACATTTTTCAATAAATAATATAGTTAATATTTCACATAGCTAGTATCTTCTCTTTGTAATTTTATCAAAGTGAGGATACTTAAGTATCCATATTCGACATTTTTCAATAAATAACGTAGTTAATATTTCACATAGCTAGTATCTTCTCTCTGTAATTTTATCGAAATGAGGATACTACTAAGTGTACTATATTCGACATTTTTCAATAAATAATATAATTAATATTTCACATAGCTAGTATCTTCTTTCTATAATTTTATTGAAGTGAGGATACTACTAAATGTACTATATTCGACATTTTTCAATAAATAACGTAGTTAGTATCCGATAATAAATGATACATCATTCACTCTTATCTTCTTTCCTTGTTTCAATTCACCTTCTCACTCAAGTATCCATGTATTTTTCAATAATAACATAGTTAATATTTCACTAGTAGCTAGTATCACGTATCTTCTCTCTAATTTTATGGAAGTGAGGATACTTAAGTATCTATATTCGACATTTTTCAATAAATAATATAATTAATATTTCATGTAGCTAGTATCTTCTCTCTGTAATTTTATCAAAGTAAAGATACTTAAATATCCATATTCGACATTTTTCAATAAATAACATAATTAATATTTCACGTAGCTAGTATCTTTTCTCTATAATTTTATCGAGGATACTTAAGTATCCATATTCGACATTTTTCGAATAACGTAATTAGTATCCGATGATAACGAATGAATCGGTAGAAAAAAAGGAATGGATACGAACGATACGTAGAATATTTCTAAAAATTATTCCTCTTCTCTTTCCTCCATGATTTTTATAGAAATTTCAACAAAATCGAGAAATACTACGTTTTAAAACCCAATTTCCTCCCTCCCCCAATTGTCCATTTAAGCGGTTGATCCAATCCAATCGTCCAATCGTTTCAAGCTCGATGACCGACTCGATTCGACTCGATCCACCTCCCCTCTCCTCTGCTTCAGCAGCTGCCATCTCTCGTTAATTTATTCGCGATTTGAAAGACGCAGAAATTCATAATAAAGTCCACCCCTCGCCATCGATCGATCTTATACACGCACACACACACGCACACACACATATATATATATAAACGTCCACAATGGCGACGTCGGTTCCATTGTGCACCCCCATCTCGCCCCCTTATGTCGCCCCTGGCCCGCTGTCGAGACGAGGGATCTGTCAAAATCAGCTGACTACCAATTCGTTCGCAATGCTCGTCTGCCATTGCCATCGCTTTACTGCCATCTGTCACCAATTTAATGAATATGCATCGCGATCCGATCGATCCACCCCTTCGATTCCTTCGAGGAGGGGGTTGAAAAACTCGCGGTATAGAAAATCGATTCTCCTTTTTTTCGATACACCGTACGAAGGGTGTGGTTTCAAGTAGGTGTATAAGTGGGTATATACCCCGATTCGTAGGGTTGTGCGATGGTTATAGATACACGGAGAGGAGGAGTTGGATTGGACGAGGGAAATATGAAAGAAATTTTCTTTATTTTATCGTATAGAGAGAGAGAGAGAGAGAGAGAGAGAGAGAGAGAGATTGTTAATATTTAACAGTCGATTTTTCCTTTGTCATTTCTATTTTCATTCGAATTAAGAAATTGGGTCTGATTGCTCTGGTTTCTCAATTGTTTCAAATACGTGCAATGCCAATTGAGTAAAGTTTACGTTTAACGGATCAATTAATCACGATGAATTTAAATTGTCATTAAGAGGCTGTTTTATTATCGTTGCATAATTCGCGACCGGTTTATATTTCGCGCCCTTCCCCCCCCTCTCTCTCTCTCTCTTTCTCTCTCTCTCTTTCCCTCTTCCTCACGGAGGAAAAAATCTTCGAGGTAGAGGGAAATTATTCGCGTGGATTGGACGTAAATTCGCAATTTGGTCTAATTTCGAAGAAACGAGCGAGACAGGAGCAATATGATAATAAATATCGCGACAATTCTCGCGATTAACGTTCCATATTTTCATTTCGCTTGCTGGTTAACATCTGTCGCGTGTTACGTAATCAAGATCCCTGGAAACGGAGCGTTGAAAGCAAATGTTTGATTTGCATCGAACGTGGACGGATTGATAAATAAGCTATACTTTTTTTTTTTTTTAATCATATTCGCTTTTGTATCGATTTCTTTCGATCTATTCGATCGATCGTTTTCGGAATTGAAATTAAAATCGTTCTTTTCAATCGTTTAAAAAAATTTAGGAAAATATATATATAATTCTATATTATGAATAATTCTAGATCTCTAGTTTGCTGAAATTTAAAGATATTGAAATTATCCGTTTCTGAATCCGTTTAAATAAATATTTCGTTTCGTTTCTTTATATATATATATATATACGTTTTCAATTCTAGAAAATTTCGTTCGCGTTTTCATCGAACGAGAAAAAATATTTCGTTTCCATTTTATTTCTGGCGAAACAAACGTATTATTTTATCCGTGATATTTGATTGCGGATCGTATTAAGTACGGCACACGGTGGATGAACTGTTTATTGTTATATACTGTCATCGTTGTTTTTCTGGCCATTGAATTTCCGGCCGAGTATCCATCATACCATTAGCCATAATTCACTTTATCCCTCTCATACCAGACGTATTTAGAAAGCGAGCGAGGGTCGCCGTTCTCGATATTTTTCGCATACTCTCTTAACATTCTTAATCGTTCGTTATTGTATCATGCCTCCCGTCCATTTTATCCCGTGCATTACATAAAAAAAAAAAAAAAAAATTGATAAGAGTTGATATTTCGTTGGAGGGAAATTATTCGCGAAATTAAAATAATTTTAAATTTAATTTTTCTCTCTTTCTAAAAGTTAAATCCGAGAATAAATTGTGTTCAATTTATTAAAGAATAGAACAGATATTCTTGGACCGTAAATTATAAAATCGGTTCAAATGAAAGATAAATTTTTATCAAAAAATTCTTTAGTAATTTTCAATAGAAGATAACGTAAAGTAAAAGCTTTATAAATAATTTTAAAATGTTCAAACTGTTTTAATTTTGAATTAGAAAAAAAATTCGATGAAAAATTCAATAAAAAATACCGTAAAGTAAAAGATAATTTGATAATTTTAAAATTTAATTTAAATTAATTTTAAAATATCGTTCAGCTTAAAACAATTATTAATCAACATTGGAATTCGCGAATACGAGAGAAGAACAATATTCGAAGAAGAATAAATTTTTAAATTCGATTTGTCATAAAAATCATCGAATTTCGAATTATCGTCCAACATTTGTTTTCCCTCTTCGCCACGGTTGCTCTATCCTCTTACGTTTTTCAACCAGTTGAGCATTGAAATCTTTAAAGTCTCTATCCCGAGCAGGGACCGACAGCCATAACTCCAGCCCTGCTCTTTTATGCGACGTACATTTTGGGAGGAAAGGGAATGGAAGGAAAAGAAGAACGAAACAAAAGAGACGCCTCCACGGGCAAACATTTGTTATTCAAATACCGAAACAAATAGCTACACGGCGAATGTCAAAAAGTTGCATACAACCTCGACGTTCGAAATCGAACGAAAAGAATCTCCTCTCCCTTCCCCATAATTTATATATTTCTTCTAAAGTTCTCTCTAAAGACACGATCGATGCATAACTATCCGTTAGAAAAAATATTTTTCGAAATAAAAACTGCCAAAAAAAAAAAAGAAACTCGAAATCGATCAATTTAATTCTACCCAAAAAAACATCGATCGCAAACTCTCTTCTCCTCCTCCCCCATAATTTATATATTTCTCTCTG